CCCCCCCCCCAACTCCCGAGCATGTGTATAGGCAGCTTTTGAGACTGAACCTTCATTTTCTTCAGGGCTCATATGGAGATTCACAATCAATCAGTCTCAGTGCAAGACAAAAAGAAGATGTTTTAGTGTCTGGAGGGGTCCATTTCTGGTTTCCATTAGTTGAACTTAGGAGAGACAGAAAATAAATATTCAGGTGAGTCAGCTGAAAGCTGGAGCTGAGCTACCACCTGCCCTCAGCCATTAGGTGGCTCATGTGGTGGAGAAGAGGGGCCTTGAGTTGCTTCTCCCTGGCTGGGTTGGGCTGGGACTGAGCCAGAACCACTGCTGCTGACTATCTTGGAATGGAGCAGAAGGTAAGCAGGGTGGGGAGCAGGGAGAGGAATTGAAAGTTGCTTCTTCTAGAGTTTTGGATTTGCAGATTCTAAGTTCAAAGGGCTAATTTCATCCCTGCTGTAACTGTGCCAAATTCACTGGAATTAAGCTGGGTCTAAATTTGACCCAGGCCTTTTCCCAAAAACAGATGTTGTAGCAGGTAAACTGAATTATGCTAATGCTTTTTGACTGGATTTTAGACCTTCCCAGAACTAAGCAATTAAATTGGGAAAAGTGAGAGCTAAGATTGGTATGGTGCGGAAACCAGGTACAGCAGTTTCTCTAAAAGAAAGAAAACCAAAAATGGAATAGGATTGGAGTACTTTATCTAAAAAGATGAGGTAAGAAACTTGAGAATTGGACAGTTTGGGGTAAGAAGGTTACAAAAGTAGTGGACAAACAAAGGGACAGTTGTGTGTTTGCATTGCCACCCAGGACAGGCAGGAGTAACCTTGGAATTCTTGTTCAAACAATGGGAAATCCAGAAACTAACACCCCACACACCCAGCAGAGGATCTGAGGCCAGTACCACTGAAGGTTGCTGTTGTAATGTCTGAAGGAAACACTTGTCAGGTTGTCTTACAGGAAGGATATTTGTAATAAAGTTTAGGGGTTACTATTAATTAGGGGTTTGCTTGATACCAAATCAGATGAGGGGCTGTATCAATCCTTGGGCCTCTGGTAAAAGGAATCCTAGTGGCAATAGATTTGTCCATTTTTGTAGCACCTGGAAGATGACAGACTTCTTACAACGATGACCCAGACCATTGCAGTAACACTGCTGGAAAATTACACTAAATCAGGGCAGTTAGTTTCTACAGAGGATGAGGGTTTCAAAAGTGTCTGCAGTTAATCACTTTTCTCTGTGTTTCCTCTTTTCCTGCTCTACTTTCATTCCATTCTATCTTTCATTCCATGTCTTCAGACCCCTGTAGTGCAGCTGTATTGTAACAATAACAATCTTCTCTGTTATACAAACATTCTGTTCATGGGCAATTGGTGCCAGATGGGGCACTTGCCCCCACCATAGCTAGTTAGTGACCAGGAGGTGGGGGGTCCCCCTGCATCCAAATGCGCTGACTGGGGTGGGGGGGAGGGAGGGAGATACTGACCTGGAAGTGTCAGCGGCATGCCCAGAAGGGCCAGGGGCGCTTCCCTTGGCACCCCCGCTCCCCAGCTGGTGCCCTTGGGAGGGCAGCAGCGCTTCTCTCTACCCCCCCTGCCTGTTGCCTAAACAAGGAATGCTGCCTGTCAGGGGGTGCACCAGTGCTCTTAGGGGGTGCACGTGCATGCCTGTGTACCCCCTACGGAGTACCCCATAGTGTATACCACTGAGTACATTCATTTTGCAGAAATACTTGCACTTTAAACGAGAAATTCTGGAGAGTTCAATATTCTGCAAAGAAGACAAGGAGTAAAGGATCTCAGCTTTCCAGCTATGACTAGGAACCTATTCAAACTGATTTTGCGATTTTCATGGAAACCATGAAAAATGGCAGTTTCTGTGAACACCACAAAACATAGCAGAATAATGGAACCCTTGCCTTATTATGGAAAAGGGGAATGAGCCCTTTAAGGGAAGATTTTTTGTGAACCAGACAGAGGCAGCTAGCAAGGCTGGGGTTAATAAACAGCCCTGCAGTCAGGCCAGCTGCTGGCCACTTGACTGAATGTGGGCATGGCTTGAGTGGCATATAAACCTGAGACTAAGTCCAGCCAGAGAGTCTGGCCCTACAAGCCACTGGATGAAGAGCTCTTGGCCAGGAAGACTGCAGGGGGATACCAGGCTGATTTCAGAGATGCTCTAATGACTGCCAGCAGAATACTGGTGCTTTATGGAGGAACACAACCTTAGGTAAAGAGAAGTCTTACTGCAAAACAGCAAAATATTGTTATCATTTGCTATGCCTGGAGCAGGTTATTTTGTTAAAGCTAGTGTGCTTTTTCTCCTTGAATTTTGGACTAGTGATTCATGTTTGGGACTGTTGGCTTGGCAGAGGTCCCAACAGTGCCTGAGGGCACACAGGTGTCATGGAGTGGGCTTTGGGCACTGTGGCAGGACTGGGCTCCAGGGTGGCCGTGATGCTCCTCTGGTGGCTGTGGGGTTCCTGCCCAGCTCTGTTTCTAAAATAGCCTTCCCTTGTTTGCTTTCTTGCCACTCCTTGTTCTTAATGAAGGTTAAATAAGGAAGGCTGCCCATGGGCTTTAGAGTGAGCCTTAGTCCAATTAAGTCCCTATCAAATGCCACCAGTCCCACTCTACCGCTTTAGCTCAATGGACCCTCTTGGCCTGTCCATGCCCCTGCAAACACTTGTAGCCTTAAGGACTAATTGCACATCTCTGCCCCTCCAGGGCACCTGTAGCCTTAAGGGCTCATTGAGTGGCTCTGTCCTCCCTTACACCATGCACTCCCCGTGCCTTGCAGGTGTTATTTTATTGTCATTCTAATATAATAAATGCCTTAACACGTCCGTCTGTCTGTCTGTAATGCTCTGGGCCAACTGTGCATGCACGGCCCGGAGCCTTAGGGCAGACAGACAGACAGGCAGAGGTGAAGGTGGGGGCTAAGGTGGGTGAGGCCAGGCTGTGCTCCCTGGTGTGGGGACTGGCCATGCGGGGGCGTGGTTTGCGACGGGGGCATGGCGTACCGCCACAGGGTGCCACAAGGGGAGTTGGGAAGCAGGCACGGGCAGCACCTGCAGAATGCAGCACATGGCCATGGGGGGGGGGGGGGACGCGACCCCTCATACCCGTTCCCCACGGAGCACCCTGCAGCCATGCTCCCCCCTGCATGCCACACCCCTCGCCCATGGTGGGAGCACCAAAACATGGGAGGGGCATGGCGCGTGGCCACAGGATGCCATGTGGGGAGCGGTACTACAGCTGGTGGGTACTGCCTGTGTCCCTCTGCCCGCTCTGCTCAGGCCTGCAGCCGTGCATCCACCCCTCGTGCCATGCCCCATAGAGTGCCATGAGGAGAGTAGACGGGGGGCATGGGCAGTGCCCACCAGCTGCAGTACACAGCTGTGGGGTGGAGCGCATCCCCTGCTCATCCCCCTACAGCCATGTGCCATGCCCCTCCCCGCACCAGGAGCACCCGCTGGCTGCTGGGTGGGTGTGGCGTGTGGGTGGCATGTGGCTAGGTGGGTGTGGCGTGTGGGTGAGTGGCAGACAGGTGTATGGTGTGTGGCTGGGCGGGTGTGGATGTGTGTGGCTGGGTGGGTGTGGCTTGTGGGTGTGCCAGGTGGGTGGGTCTGTGTGTGGTTGGGTGGGTGTGGCGTGTGGCTGGCTGTGGGTGTGGCGTGTGGTTGGGTGGGTGTGTGGTATGTGGCTGGGTGGTTGGGTGGGTGTGTGTCTGAGGTGTGTGTGGTGGGGTGGTTTGTGCACAGCTGGATGTGGAGTGGCAGCAGCAGTGGGTAGTGGTGCTCTGCCCCCGCCATCTGCTCATCGTTCTTGATGGACACTTTGCTAGTTCACCTTATAGGGGTCTTGGCCTTATATCAGCCTCCTTCCCTTATGCTCTTGTGGGGCCTTTTAGCCCAGGCCCATGGTATCAGACTTGCCTTCTAGGCTCCCGTCTCCGTAATTATGGGTCCAAGAGGGACCCTGGCAGTGGTCCCTCTTAGATCTTTGGCCCCCCCAGGGCCCTGGCCCTGGCCCTGGCCCTGCTGCTGGGCCAGTAGAGATATCCAGGCTCCCTGGCTCTGGCAGTCCCTGGCTGTGGTCCCATCTTGGACCTTTAGCCCCTCCTGTGATCTGGCCTTGCTTCAGGCCAGTTGAGACCTTCAGGCTCTCTGGCCCAGCTTGCTCCCTGGACTTGTTCATCTGCCTTGACCTCTCAGACCTTTGGGCCCTCCTGGACCAGTTGGGACCACAAGGCTCCTCAATCCCAGGCAGCCCCTGTCTAAAGTCCCTCCTGGGCTACTGGTTCTCTGAGTAAGCCTTAATCCT